CTATATATATATATATATAGTCTTTTTTTTATAATCATAGGTCAACCAGATTAAAAAAACATGGATGAATATATTTTCTAGTTTGTAGAGAACCTACGTTCTAGTTATGAAACAAAAAAAAATCCTAATGTAAATAATATATTCAGTTTTGGGGACATCTGCCAGGTACTGGAGGAGATCGACGTCTTGATCTGTGTTCTGCACTCAGCCTAAAACCCGAACGTCGCTTATTCCTAGACGAGACTTGGAGATAGAAGAAATCCGTGCAAAACAATTCAACTTCAGTTCTTACCACTTTGCCTAAATTAGCATTAAAACTGTTATAGAAAATACAAGATGAAATATAATTCAGAATTTATTCACTCCATGCACCTTAATGTCAGTCAATAACAGCAGGAAGTTCGCCTATTAAATTATACGGTCGTTTAGCTTTTAGGAAAAACGCCATTGAAATAGGACTTAAATCCTGACATTTGACACTTGAGTGCTATAATCATGAGGTTCAGTTACAACCAAAGAAAAACGTCGTTTCGGAAATAGTGATAATAATAACAATAGTTGTCAGGGTTCTGGAAACTCTGGAGCATTCTCTCCTTTACGGAGATTTGACACATACGTTTAATTCCTTCTTAAGGGACCTACATGTTTTTGTTCTTATGCCTTTTCCTTGAGGCCTGTGATTTATTTTTGCTCAGCTTTATTATGTGACTTATTTAGTATAATTACCAGTTTTTTATGTTTAAATTAAGATATATTATTTGAAACAACGTGGACAGTCTATCCTCACCCATACAAATCTCTTACTTACCTTGAAGTACAACTTTCATTATTCCATTCTCTCACCAATTTATCAAAATCGCGTTTCTTACCTTCTGCTTAGATATCTGCTTATACCAAATGGTCTCGTCACGTGTTTGCCATTATAAACAAATGGGTTAAGAACAGTGACAACTTTTCACTACCTTATATACACGGAGTAACAGGTGGTTGTATCAGTCTCTAATAACACAGGATAATAATATACTTGAGATAAAACACATGGTAATGACGAATATAAGAGGTGTAATTACCCTCGATCCACAAATGGCAAGGAACTAGTAATAACGTTTTTTGATATACTTGTTCGCAGATTTTAATCAAAAGTACCAGCTGAATTTTTGTTACATTGTAAAGGTAAAAGAATATTGTCTGGAGATGTTCACTAAAATCATCTGTTAAGTTTTAATTACTTTTTAAAGGTGAAAACATTGTCTTCAGATATTTGCTAATCAAAATTATCTGTTCAATTTTGGTTACATTTTATGAAAGGTAAAAACATTGATTGAAGTACGAAGAAATAAAAAACTTATTTCTACCATGTCTGCAAAATTGTTTATGGACGTGAATGTAAATTAAAACCAAGAAACAACAACTTTTTATGAAAGTTGTTAAGGTAAGTTCACTGTTATGACGGTGTTGAGAGTGATATTTATTATTTTGTCGGGCTACTAATGTAATTTTTTCCACGAAACATTGTAAATCCCTGTGTGATTACTCTTGTTATGTTAAGGGTCAGGCTGTATACTAATAAATTTTAAAGGGGGAAAAAAAGATCCTCCCGAGAAAACATTCTTGTTTATCTTAAGAAACAGAATTATGATTTTATCAATTTTAGGTCAATAATGTATATGTATGTTCTAGGTTCAACCACTATATTCGATGTTGAAAAGGGCAGTGTATTATCTATATATTTGGTGTAGATAAATGAAAAGATGAAGCAAAGTATGTGTTATGTTTATTCATAACACCTTAAACTTATAACATTGCTTGTAAAGCGCACATAATTGATTTAAAACATTGAAGTTATTAATGACAAGAACAGAACACACGTGAAAATCTCAAGATATTATATAATTTGTGATCACACCTTGATATATAAACTATTGACATAGTAAAGTTTTGACAAGCAGTAAAGATGCAAGAACACAAAACAATCAAGTCTAAAAGTCACTGATTTACTGTATAGTTTAATAGTGAATCTTCTAAGTTTATTACAGCAAGAACATTAATAAGTTCTTGTAGGTTATAAGTGTTTTAATGATTAACATAAAATGTCTTTCATTACTTTTTTGTTGCATTGTATAAGTTGTGTTATGTTGATTTTTGAACGTATTTTATTTTCGCAAATTTTTAACCTTCCTTGCATCGGTATGTTCCAAATTTATAGCAAAATTATGTATCTATTATTACTTGTACCTTATTTTTTGATTTTTTCATACTTTTTTGTTTTTACAATTTTGTTATTATTGATGAGACACTGACCGGATTGAAGAAAACGTTCTATTAACTTCATTTTCTTAAGACTCAGACATAACTCTCATATTTAGTATGGACTAACTATTCTTTACTTTTCTGAAGTGATGTTCGGATCACCGACTAACCTTCTCAATCCGGTTGTGTCCATCAAGTCCGCCACACCATGATGGCGCCACCTTCGTCTGCTGTGTTTAGCTGCGTTCTGATCAGCCTGCCTTGGGACCTTGGGGTGGCACTGATTGGATTGGAAATCCATATTCCATATTAAATCTAAAAGCAAACTTAAATAATTTGATATATATATATATATGCACGTGTGTGTGTTCATATATGTATATATATATATATATATATCCAAAATTTAGAGTCATGCTATTAGGCAGACAAAATTGGCCTTGAATGGTGTGGTAGGCCATTCCAAAAAACAAACAAATTAAAAGTGTTATTTTCAGAAGATGGCCTCACTGATCATGTTTTCCCATCTCTTCTGTGCTTTTCCAGATCTTTGGTTCCAAGGCAGACTTGCAGCTACACACTCAGATTCACATGCGTGAAGCCAAACCCTACAAGTGTTCCCAATGCTCCAAGGCCTTTGCCAACTCTTCTTACCTGTCCCAGCACACAAGGATTCACCTGGGAATCAAGCCGTACCGCTGTGAAATCTGCCAGCGGAAGTTCACCCAACTGTCCCACCTACAGCAGCATATTCGGACCCACACTGGGGACAAACCATACAAGTGTCGCCATCCTGGTTGCAACAAGGCCTTCAGTCAGCTCTCTAATCTCCAGTCTCATTCTCGCTGCCACCAGACTGACAAGCCCTACAAGTGTAATAGCTGCTACAAGTGTTTCAGTGATGAAGCCAGTCTTCTGGAGCACATCCCTAAACATAAGGAATCGAAACATCTTAAGACACATATTTGCCAGTTCTGTGGAAAGTCCTACACGCAGGAAACATTTCTAGCTAAGCACATGCAGAAGCATGCAGATAGGATGGACAAGAGGTCTCATTCATCTCTCGGCAACAACACGGCAACAACACCTCCGACACCTGTATCTCGGACCCACATGGATAACTATTGGTCAAAAAATACTGCTCCCACACCAGGACCGGAAAATTCATATTCTGAGAACTCTTCAACTGCAGCTATTGTAGCAGCTGCTGCTCACCATACTGCTCACCCTCACGTTCCAGATACGTGTCTCCAGTCCCCGATGGGGGATCAGCCACGGCTTCATATAACGTCTAGAGATTTGGATCACAGACAGCCTCTAGGAAGTGGAGGGAACGGAAACACTACCAATAGCAACCATAATCTCCGTGAACATTCGGAGATGGGACATAGTGGCCATCTTGGACCTTCTCATTTACACTATGACGGAAGTTCACTCTCTGTCAGCAGCAGTAAGACCACTTCAGCCTTCACCCCTATCCAGTCGGGGATGTTACCAATCTCTTCGGGCTCACAGTTGTCATTACCAACTGGACCATCACGATCATATTTTCCCTACGAGCCCGTCAATTTTCCTAAAACCCCTTCACAGGTGAGCTCGATGGATTTGAAACCTGCTCATAACTCCTTTCCCAATCAGCTGATCTCCTTACATCAAATAAGGAACTATGCTTCCATGCCATCAATGGCAGGAGGAGAACATCCGATCACTCTTAAAGACAAGGGCCAATTGTAGATGACTGACCATGTCTGTTATATAGACGTTATTGTTATCCCATATATTTCATTAAAGAAACGGTCATGGAAATTGTGGTATGTGGTTATTTGTTTTTATTCTATTCTAAAATCACTCTTGGACCAATATACTCCAGGGTGAGGGGGCGTGGGGCGTTGTGTTGTCAAACATCTAAGGTGCCACTTCGTCATAGTAACCTATAACGCTACTGAAAACATTTCATAAAGAAGGACTGCCGATGTGCAATAATTGTGCATGAGGTTTAGACACCGGTGAGACATTACATCTGCAGATGTGATACTGTAAGCTGTAGTGCACATATTCTAACTGCTGTTCGACTTATCATGCTACTAAGTGGCAATTCACGTGAGAAGACGACTAGCAGGAAAAAAAGAAAACAAAAAACATAACCCACGCCTGTATAATTGAAGATTCTGCTGAAACCAAAGCGAAAAATCAGCGTGTGGTTTCCAGAATAATCGAGGTTGATTAGCCATTTCTCTTTTTAATATTATTCGTTATCGGTACAAAGAAAAAAAAATTAATCCAGCTCAATTTTTTGCAGAACTTGAAGTTCAGGTTAGGATTATCCATATAAATCATAGAATATTCATTTAGTAAGAGCAAAAAACTTTCCTGTTCAGATTTTTATGGTATAACTTCTTGTCACAGACTGTTTACTGTAGTAATTGTGAAATTGTGACTAGTTTACTTCATGGTGCCCACCTCAGCAATAGATGATGACATCTTATGTCGGTGCCTTTCAAAACATACATTATCATAAACGTATATATATCCGTATGTATAGCTGAGTCTATAGTTCTATATATATAAATGAATTTATTCACTTCCTCTTAAAGAATGATATATATGGTGTACACGGAAAAATTGTTTAACACCCAGTCAGAGATTGTAGCCTATTAATAGTGTCTGCTGTGATAATTACACTGTTGTGAAGTAGGTACCCATATCTAGATTATATAGGCATTAGTTTTTCTAATGTGACTTTTATTAATTAAGCTTGTGTATGTTGTGGTTAATATATATATACATCAGTGATGGTAACAGTTTAAATTGTATTATAAGGAGGTATTATAAGGCTGAGGGTTAGGTACCTTGATCGTGAAAAGAAAAATCACCGATTGGTGACAGGCAATAAGTGCACGCTCAGTCCTTTTTTAAGAGTTATGATAATGAAAATTTATGAAAGAAATTTACTAGATTAGGACGGTAAAAAAGAGAGGAAAATCCAGGAGATGTGTTTTCAGATCTTTTCTAAAAAGATCGCAAATGTATTTTAAATAGGAGAACATTTGTGTGTGTAACATTTAAGGCGTTTTACGCACTCTTAGCCATAACGTTTCCATGAGGTATTATACCCAGTGTTTTTGTATATACGTAAATGTGTTTGTATGTTTCTGTTGCCATAGTTAAATTCAGTAACGCACATTACAAAGAACACATCACTGAAATATAAACCCTGAATGTTTAAGCTGTGGTACTTCGTTTCTTGTTTTGTTTTAATATTATAAAGAATTTAGGGTTCAGGTTTGTGTTTTAGATCTAATATTAATCAGATTTCACACTGCCTCTTAATATTATTACAAAACCGAGTTACAATATCACATGGTACTAATCGAACAATACATGGCGTGGCAATAAGACATATATTTATACATATATGTTTTATAAAACTCCCTGCCTTGATATTATACTTTGCTACTTAAACAAATTTTGATTTTGAAAAGGCATATTAAATCCACATACAATTTCGTGTACTAGAGTATGGGTAACAGCATTTTTATACAGAATACTGCCCTTGATTTAGTTCGTTTTATTTAATTGTCACGTATATATATGTGTTAATTGACATTTATTCCGAATATATTTTTCAGTGTGTTAAGTAATCGTAAAGTTGAAATTAACAAGATTTTTATATATATATATATATATGATACATTCTGATCTCTCTCTCATGCTTTGATTAGCTGTCAAATCTCTCTCTCATGCTTTGATTAGCTGTCAAATCTCTCTCTCATGCTTTGATTAGCTGTCAAATCTCTCTCTCATGCTTTGATTAGCTGTCAAATCTCTCTCTCATGCTTTGATTAGCTGTCAAATCTCTCTCTCATGCTTTGATTAGCTGTCAAACTTTTATGCAGATTCTATTTCGGTAAATTAATTATTCTAATTCAAAATAAAATTGTAAAAAAGGCATCAACAAAACCTTGTTTTTATTGTAAATAAGCGAATACATAAAAACGATGCCCTTATAAGGATAAAACAAATTTACTAAATCTATAAGCTACTGAGAAAAAAAAACAGTCATTTTTCGTACGCAGAGGCATGTTTAACGATCTGTTATTCAGTAGAGCTTTTTAACTGTAGTATGTATTAACTGTTAAAAAACAATCGCTTCATTGTAAAGTGAAATGTTGTTGTCACTAAAAAGTGTATAATCGACACCGTTATTAATTTTATTTTTAATGCTTAAGCAAGAATGAATCTGTAAAGTCCACTTATGCCTGTTTGTAGCTGTATTTGAGACTCTCGAGAAATGGCCATCAGCTGTTTAAAATCTCATCCTGCGCTCACATTCTTGGGCGCTTAGCAGAAGAATCGCGTGTATTTAAATATAATAATGGTAATACTGCGACCAACTTATAAATATTGCTCAACATATTAGATAATTGACAATTGGAATATGACTTAATTTAACAGGTACTTTAATAGTAAAAGTGCAGGTGTGTCGATCACATTACCAAGAATTGGGAACGAACAACATTGTCGTGAAAACAGTACAAATTACCCCTAGCATTCAAATTAACCAATTATAGTAGTGCTTTGAATATTATAACTTTTGGGTAGTTTTGGGCAGCACTAAAGACAACCGAAAAATAAGTGCGTGTTAAAATTATTTAAATTTATTGATTAATGAAACAAGTTGAGTAGCAAATCATATATTTTGAAAAAATAATAAGAATCTTAGTTGTTATTTAATTTTCTTTTACAGCATTTCAGTAAGAGGCATAACTGTTGTATCGCTCAAATAAGTCAACAGTGTTTTATTGTAAGAAAAACGAACAACGATTTTATTATATTAGAAACTTGGATATGAGTGTATCATATATTTATCATCTTAGTTTTTTAATCACATTCATTGTTTTCAGTTTACTTTATCAAATTAATTAATTATCATCATGATAAACGTAAGCAGCTTTGTTAATTAAAGTAAATCTTTTGAATTTTGAATATATTTACAAACTCTTTAAAATTAGTACACAACTAACATGAATTCTTGCATTTCGCTTACAGGAATCTGGATAACAGTTGTATCTTAGTTAGATTGGTCTAATTGTAAGCTTTCACTCATTAGAATTCAAAACACAATAAAAGTCATCGATGTTTCAACGTTTTTCGATTAACGGTAATATGTATTCGACTGTCTTGTCAATTCACAAGTCTTATTCATCAATTCTTTTGTAAAGAAAAAACAAACAACTTAGTGTGATCCATAGATCGCGAAAAACACACACACCTAGGGTGATCCATAGATCGCGAAAAACATATACACACCTAGGATGATCCATGTATCACGAAACACACACACACATACACACCAAGGGTGATATATATAGATCATGAAAGAATTTTCAGTTATGGCTAGAAACTACGAAAGTGAATGTTTTCCTCTTAATTTTGACCCCACTTATAATCTTGTACAGAATATTAATCGGTATTACGTATAGTTAGTTTATTAAGGCATTTTACAGGCTCTAAGTAGAATGGTTAATATTGGGGATCTTTTATGGGGGGGGGGTACAAAACAAGACCCAAGCTTTGATCCAAATTTCACAATGGGAGCTCTTTTATGCATATTTTTTCCAATTATTTTTAAACTGTTGTACAAAATGTCAATCCCTGATCAGAAGTCTGTAAATAGCGTTATGATTTTTATGCCGTTTTATTTTGTACTCAAGAGTTAATAAGAGGCAACATACAGTGTTCAGAATGAACATTGTCTAAATTGTTATTGCTTTTAGGCTTATATGATTATGTAAATAGTCTTAGCTTTAAGCGATATTAGCATGTAATGCTTGGCGAAGCACTTTATGCAGACGGTTACATAGTACAGTCGTGTAAATTGATAGTTTGGAAAATAGGTGTTATGGACGGTTCAGTTTATGGTTTACCGAATGATAACCATGTGAACTGTCAAGACAATTTTCGGTTTCGTAGAAAAACCCCTTTTTAATATTTCACAAAATGTATTTATGGCTGTGTTTTAAAATCGATAGTTTGTTAAACCCGGTTTTTGTTCCTTTGTATCTAGTAGCATAATTTATGTGATGATAAAACGTTTTTCACTTTTCAATTTCTACACGTGTTTAATAATGATTATACGTGAGTTGTTTGGTTTTGTTTACTATCCTTTGAACACTTTACCAAGAGTGTCTTTGAATTGACATTCAGAAAAAAAAAGGCGATAAACCACAGGAGACATTCCGGTTATTATTATTATTTTTTATTTTATTGTGCATTAAACAAAGACTTCCTTATGCATGCGAATACAACTAGACGTAAAGCCAGTTAAGCTTATAGCATTCATTCTAATGCATGTCATGATCTTTATTGCAGAGTAATTGGAGACTGTTTTGTAGATTGTCTTAGCTTGGTGTTCAAGAACGTCTCACGCTAGGGTTAGACCAAGTATTGTATAATTCAAGCAATTATAATAAAAACAAAAGTGTAAAACTTACAAGAAAATGTTTTTGATCACCTAAATTAATATTGTTTACGAGTTTTAAAAGTGACAGTGCTTAGATTTGTTGCTTATTTGTATCTAGAACAAGATAAAAAATTTCAACTTTCCGACCGAGTGAAAAGTTCATTGTTTGTATCCCGTCACATATATATCTTTATATACTAACACAGATAATTTTATCCAATGAAGATAATTAAAAAAAAAAAAACACAAAGACAACGGATTACAAAAA